CGGCAAAATAGCGATTACGTGACGTTGCAACGAGGTTACTAAATCGACATTCGATAGAAATAATTTTTATCGATATGTAAAGTTGCGTTTACGTTGCAATGCTAGTTGACAGCGTCAAATGGCGTCTATATGAGCGCATGATTGACAGATGACGTCATTTTCACTACGTTACATACGAAAATCGTTGTTACATAATTAGCCCACCGATCTATTTGTTTTGTTCTGTATCACACTCACCTAAACATAAGGATGAAATTTTCAAAGAATATGTTGTTAAATGTAGGGAAACATAAGAACCAGAGGCCAATTGGTAATTATTTCTTATTAATTTTATAAATGCTATTTATAATTCATTTATAAGTAAAAGATGGCGCAGTACAAATGCCTTATTTATTTTTATAGTTTGATTATCGTCTAGAAATATACGCACAGATGAGTTTACAGACATCACTAGTTGTGTAATGAAATAATGTAGGCCCAGTGACTTTGGTCTCTATTGATTTATTTCTATGATTACTTGGCTGATAGAGGTTAATCGGGGTCTAGTCTTGAGGACGTTAAATGTATTTTTCTCAGATCAAACAACAGCTTTTTATTATCCATAGTAATTTACTTTAATGTTGAAATATGTTAATCTGTGCATTTTTATATGGTCCTGCACAATTTTTTTTGCTCTTCCATTTTTTGACATTTTAAGAGCAACAGTCTTCATTTCTGAATATTATATTCGTGTAGAACGTAGTTTTTACACGTGATTTGATCTGCTCTTTTTGAAATAAAAAAAAATCACTGTTCCTTTTCGTGACATAGTCTATCTTCAAATCAGACATATAAATTTTCTCATTTATAATATTACTATAGATTATTTACTACTATAGTAATATTATACTATATTACTATTTATGCTTTAGGAGAGAGAAGAGTAAAATATTTTTTTTCCGGAAGTTATCTAAAATCAATACAGGTATTAAGACGTAATATGTCTATATATGCAAACCTATATATACAAATACATACAGAAACAAAGATCTAGGTATAATGTCTTCATGCAAATAATGCAATCGGTTACATGTAAGAATGAAAGTTCAATTTATGGTTAAGGAACTATAAAAATATTCACGAAATGAGGACTCAGTTACGGGTACATTTCCATCACAATTTATTTAAAATCAGAACTAGCGAGGAAAATTTTACAGACTAATATTAATGAAATTGACTAAACCATAATTGATAAATCAATTAAAGATTGTAATTACATCTATAATTACATATTTATACAATCTAAGTTGTAGGAGAAAAACTTGAGGTTTTTGTTGTACCTACTAAATCGAGTTTAGTACAAAATGAAATTGTTTGAAGCACTCATAGAGTTCTTTTTTGTTTCTTCTATATACGAGTAATAATGCGAATAATTGTAGATCATAGGACGACTGTCTGTCTTTAAGTAATAATAGTGAAGTTTTTATTAAATAATAAATAAAGAGTAAAAGTATCTTTTTAAGACATGTTATTACCATGAATAACCATACATCCCTTTTAGACGACAAAAGTAGGTAACATGACTCAATTAGAAGTTTATTTTTAATCTTGTATTTTGTTGTTGGGTTTCTCCCGTTATAAACTTTTGGTTGTTATTGCTTACAAAATAACCCATTTAAACTTTATATACAGTGTTAATGAAAGTCTCGCTGCTTGCTTTCTTAATTGGTTATGAACTCGGAAATAATATTATTGTCAAACTTGCATAAAGCTTGGCATTTAACACAAAACATCCAATAGTCAATAAAATCCTATTTAGTAAATATCTATTTGTATACCAAGTGCTTTAAGATTGTGTAATGTTTTAATATATATATTTCTTTAAGTTTGAATAGTTGTTGTTATATACTTATGTATTTAGAAATCAAAGACTGAAAATAAAATTTAGTCTAGTGACGTTTAACAGACAACTTATCTGACTATATTCCAGATTATGACTCACAGAAATGAATTAATCCTCTTCATGCGATGACTCAATTAATATACAGCGTCTCGTAACTCTTTTTAACCATGTATGTGTGACGATTTCGCAAATGTAGAATGGGAGAACAAAACATGTTATATCCGTGCAAGAAAATGTAACATCTAAATAAGAATCTACATCTACTGTTTATTTATTTATAAATAGTTATAGAGACCCTTGCTAAACAGTGGGACGATGAATTTACGACAATGACGACCTTATTCGCATCATTTCAAGCTTGTATATGTATTTCATTAATATTTTCTTTGAAAAGAGACTAATTCCACTGATTTATCTTTCCTTAATAATTGATATAAATTGTAATCAAATCTAAGTACACTAATATTAGATACTGTTGTCGTTTGTTTTTAATAAACAATAAATATGTAGAAACAGATGACCGGAGGTATAATAAGAATCCATTGCTTATATCTGCAATTTATCTCCCATATATACCTACGATATCCATCATATTATCTATATAGATAAATAAATTATCTCCTATCAGCCTATATTTATTGAGTATGTTATGACAATTGTGTAATACGTTTCAATAATATCAGGCTCTACTTCACGTCTTGACAAAGAATAATACGGAATCCGTAAACTACTCTTATATCTTAATGTCATAAGTAAGTAATAAGATGACCTTGTCAAAATCTTCATGACCTCCGTACGTTTGACCTGACGACTTTTTCTCAATTGTATAAAATGCAATTAAACATCCTTTCTTTGGATTTTCGATTTGGTATTGGAGTATTTCAGGTGAAATAGTGAGTTGCATGACTCAAAATTAAGTGGAAAGTGAGACAGTGTATTTTACTTTCTTTTTTTAATGTTTTAAAAGATAAATGAAATAGATGAAATGTTTATATATCTATGCATGTGTATGATACTATGCATGTATTGGTATATTTCCTGCAATCTGTGCTAAAAATACTTCGTATAGATTTTTAGTAGATAGTGGAGAAAATGTTCGCTAAAAGCTTGCTATGGAACGTCCATACATGTTGTTATAGTTTCATTTTGTTTTCTTTGTACGCACATACTGTGTTGTACTTGCGAGGTACTCGTAACACAACGTTCAGCGCAGACTTTAAAACTGACGTAAATATTTTTTGTTATTATTGCTTAGTACCAAATATAGTCGATCCACATTTTCCCCTAATATCAAACTAGACCTTATTCGCTCAACTATTTTTTCGTGACTTTTTAATAGCACGTTTTAATTATGTTAAATTTATTCTGTGTACTTATTTAGCGTATGAATATGAAATAGAATTATTTGCACGAACTTTTTATCCGCAGTGCAGTTAAATTGTAATAGTAAAACTGTACTAATTTGCTACTTTAATTCTATTTTGCAATAATTTATTTAGTAACATAATGTTAAAATAATACGGATTTAATCCATAACAAGACCAGTTTTAAAATGTGACGTACAGAATATGCGGAAGATTTGCGCGTTAAAAATTTTAAGTGAGAATAAACATTCACAAATATTCATTATAAAACTTTTCGATGTGTACATGAATTTATATTTACTACGCAATATGTATAATACGATACGCAGGTACTGTGGTAGCTAGTACCTACACTCAATGAAGTGACATCATACAATGTCTATACTTTAAGAGGCTGTTGTTAGTATAGCTTAATCATTTGATATGGAAACTTACCTAAAATATACCGAAATATGACATTGTAAAACCTTATGTTTGAAGTAAACTTTGTTCAAAAAGTGTCAGCTTAGCCTTAATAGTTAACGAAACTGTTGTTTATAATTAGGTATACTAAATTTAGTTTACCTAATAATAAACAACAATATGCATATATACTAATAATAAAAAAACATTTATCTGTATCTCTAGTACATATTGAGTATAATTAAAAAATATGCAATAATTTTGATACTTGAATATAAATAATGTATGTATAGTGTTGAAAACTTCATATTCATAGAAATATATTTAATTGGTTTTATTCTTAACTACACGTCAATTGTCATTTTGTAATGTATTCTAAATAAATTTTAAAATATGCACTTGATGGATTATTAAAGCATATACTTGTATCTCGTATCATTACATGCCCTTTACAAATGTGATTTCCCATTACATTTGTAAAGGGCATGTAATGATTTCAACTAAACAAGCTTAGTCGTAAAGGTTATATTAAGTAGAAAGCCAATGATAGTGTCCATAATTAGTTTTTAAATATTAAATTATACTATGTATGTTAGTCTATAAGGTACTATAATATGGGCCTAGTTGCCTGAAATAAATGAATAATTAAATAAATAGATTTGTTAGTGTCAGGGTTACATAATTAAACACTAAATAAATAAAGGTTTTATAGTACAATAGTTTCGGTATTGTACTATAAAACCTTTATTTATCCCTAATCCCTAAATATATTATTCAAAAAGAAAAACAAAAAAATCATATTTTTAAAAACACGTGCACATATCAATTTAGTTTATAAAATATTTGCTTTAAGATTTCCACTTTGCTATTTACACAGTATCTATACCTATTACGTCAAAGAATAACACTAGAAATAAATTGACACTTCCTAGCAGATTTTCCTGTGATTAGTTGTTATCCATTTATATAAATTACATATCTTTCTACCTTTTACGTAAATCACAACATTTATTGTTCCACTCGTATTGAAACGAAATTAGCATAAACTTTTATGACACTGAATTATGAATATCTTCATTATTTAAGTTCATTGAAAAACCAAACATATTTTAGTTATAATAAGACACAACTAAAATATGTTTTGTTTTTTGAAATGTTATGTCTTGTATTTCTACATATTTAAAAAAATTACATTTCAGTGTTATCAATAACTATACCATAAGTACATGTCATATGTATAGTTACTATTATATATACCTACCTGCATTTTAAAATATAAACATAGCCTTGATATAACATTTTAGTTTGACTTTAAAATCATGTTGTATGTATAAAAAAAACTATCTACCTGCGCTCCATCAGTTCACCGAGGTCAGGGAACAATAAATGATATGCCCATTTAAATCATTGTTGCTGATTTGTTCAATCGTAATCGTGGGCGCGCTGAGTTCGCACCGCGAGCGTTTTACGCCGAGAGGTTTTATTTACATAAACAATAGTCAAAGATTTGTACTGCAGTACCTTAAATAATGCTAGTTCGCGAGCACGTTCAGTGGCGTGCATCGTGCTATGTTGTGTTGTCAGGAGATTTAATCCCGTTAGCAAATGGAACAGTGCTGGCTTTGTAGTACTGGGGCCCGGCAGCCACAAGCCGGCTCTCGTTATGTGGTCGCGCTGAACGCTTAGTCACTGATCACACTACGACTGTCGCGCACCGCACTCACTGTGATATAAATAGTATTAATTCAAACGTTGTGATAAACATGTGATATTAAACTATGGGTTTCTTAAACGTCGTTTCCTTTACTGTGTTTAAAAGGTGTCCTAATTTCAAGTTCAAGAGGAGAACACACGCGAGAAACAGGTTATTTTATTTTTTTATTAAAGAATATAAACAATACAATGCACATTTGTTACGATGTGGGTCATATTTTTGCAAGCTCACATAAGTTATCTCGTATATCTTGTTTATATCACTGATAATAAAGTGTGACACATTATACAGTCACGCGTTATCAAGTCATGTCGTTTACTAAATTTAATACGTTAATTTGTATTATGATAGTCACAATGACAGAAACCATAATTTAAATTATATTTTTTGTATGTTAGGCATGAACGTTATTTATTTTAAGACAGTGAGTTCTAACGACTGATGTTAAGAGATATATACATTCATGTTACATACGTATGTGTATGTATATATATATGAATATATAAACAATAACATATACTTTTCACAAAACTTATTAGTGCCTCTTTAAAAATAAATATTATAATACAAAACTGTAAAACGGCTAGAAATCTCTGTACCTACATATTTTTTTATTTGAAAGGTAATTAAAGTAAATTTAAAACATTATTCCAAATTTGAAATCTCGTAGTTTCTGTTTTCTAGCATATACATATACACTGTAACAGACGGGCATACAGACGGATGAAATGGCACCAAGGTTAGGTACATACTATGTGACTATTATAGGTACTTTCGCTTTGTATCGATTTTACTGGCAAATTATCCTTGAACTTTTAACTTGTAACAAAATTGATTAACACAATGTCTTTTATAATTCAAACTCCATATGAGTTTCCATTGACAAACCACATTAATTATTTAATTCCTAACCTAATGAAATCTTGTAATAAAAAAAACTCAGTCGTTAAATTAAATATTATCTATATCCATATTAATAACATAGTAATATTATGAATACAAAAGTTTTCTCGTTACCTTTTTGCCGCTAATCATATGAATGAATTTTATCGTAATTTTAAATCAAGACGAAGATACAATTGAAAGAACTGAGGTTAAAGTTTATATAAGTGCCATAAAAACTTAATTTTGAATGTCCAAAGTACATACTTCAATTATTATAGAAAATGTTTTGTTTTTTTATTAATATAGTCGATAAATCTAGTATGGATAGTTGATTATGGCAGTAGGAAGGTACTTGCCTAAATTGTCGTAATCGATTTCAGACAATTTTTGCTCGATCAAGCATAACATCCTTGACTTCGTCTTACGTGACAATTGCCGCTGTTGAGTAACATATTAAACAGATGAAATATACAATAAATAAAATAAATAAACCAAAGCTAGGCTACTACTATAAATGATAAGAATACTAAATTAAAAACTATTATAGATAGTATGCGATATTCAGAGATATATAAGTAATATACTCATACATAGAAAACAAGAAGTCTAAACAATCTCATAGTAATGAGTATAATAGGTTGCATTGTACGGAAACCGAACCTACGACCTCCGACAACCACGAGATGAGTCAGTCAGAGTCTGTTAAATTAAGGTCATATTTAGATAATAAAGCATAAGTCTTTATACGCTTACATATTATAGTAGATTAGAGATATATAGATTATAAATATAGATACATTATTTTGTAGTCGGGTTTAAATTATTTTTATTTTATTTTTTACATGGTTTTTGTTTTTATAACCTTGAAGTTTTATATGTGAAGAAAGATGTGTAATAGAAATATATTTGATTTTACACATATAAACGGATTCTGATAAAATTTCAGAATATTTTGCACTTAAGAGTTAATTTTATCAATTCACATAAACTAACCATTATTGACTTTAGAGCAACATAATTATCAAAGTCGAACTACTTTGTAAACAGTTATGTCCTAATCTACAGCGGGACGACGTACCTGAAAACATTTTCACTGTCTGGCAAAGATCATATAATCTACAAGTATGTCAGACTTTACGATATCATGACTGCTCCCGTGGTATTAATATTTAAATAAGAACACGCTTCTGTAACTTAAATGTTTAAATAACAACATTTAATCTAACACAGAACTTCTAAATCGCATGGTGAATCATTCAAAAATTCTCTTACAATTTTGCCTGCTTTTTCATTTATGTTCCCATTAATATATAATTACAATACATTGATAACCAAGAATTACAATGACTATTTAATGGTAGTTTACGACTATGACGGTCCGTTGCTAGGGGTGGTCATAATCTGTGACAAAGTATAACATTAGTGCTTAGTGATGTACTGGTATGCATAGCAATAACAACTTTATACGTTGCGCTTGAAATCTTAAAATAGACATACACAGTGCATATTGGCACTATTACTTTAATAATAATTACCGAGGAAGTAACTACGTTTTTAACAATAACAACAAACACGAGTTGGTACTAGACAGGTACAACGTATGATTCGATTTTTAAAACATGTTGGAATATATTTTCTACCTAATTGTTTTGTTATATGTGATATTACTGAAACAAAATATATCATGTTCATATCCTTACTTTATTTGCTGCTTTACATTGTGTAGTGTAAAAAAGTAGCCTAGTGCGGGAATCTATGGGAATAAATAGCTGATCATGGATAAATATATAAATTTGTCACATCCACCGAACACAATTATGCTACTGTTGCCATAATAACTTGAAACATATTTTTAACGCCGAATTAGAAAATAATGTATATATTTTTTAATTCTTTCTACTATTTCAAATTATATTTGTTCAAGAATATTTTAATTTATGTTATCTATTTTAATAAGTATTTCAACATAACAGGCTTGAGAACCTTTTATAAATACCTTAACTTATTAAAAAATAAAATTAAACGAGCAAAACCATCTTTGTTTACCCCAATGAAAAATGAGTTGGCCCAATTACGTTGCTCCAGAAAATAATTTGTTTCCTCTTTTCTTACGCATATTTTATATATATTTCTCTAGCCATTTTCTTGGGGAATAAGACCCTGAAACGCACTCATGTGCTATTTGATTAAATAAGACTACGTTGTTAATTATTTTATTTCTTATACTACGCCTACCATTTTGGTAGACATCTAATTAATTATATCATTAAGCACTATTTAGACGTAGCTAATATTTTGATAAGCTTGTATACCAAAAACAAATACACTGATAATTATATATCCAACTTTCTATACCTAATTTGATAAATTTTATCGCAATAACATATTGACATTATCTATAAAACATATGATCAGGTATGTAGTGCCAAATGCATATTTAGGTATGTTACCCTAAATAGATACGTTCTCACTTTGATTATGCAGGAGCATAGTAGACATATAAGCAATGCATATTGGAACTCGATGAAGGAATGTCTATGGTATATTGTAGGGAATACACATAACTCATGGGCAACCGCAATCCCAGAGTTTTGAAGCTGTTACAAACCCAGAAGTTTCAAGGTTTGTGGCCTATATTGTGGCTTTATAGCATAAATAGTTTGGTAACGGTCACGTTATAGGTATTTTGTTGATAAATAGGAGATTCTTATAGATGTCATCGTATAATTCCGATGACATCTACAAGCACTAGCACCGAATTCGATAAAAAAATTAATTTTCTTACAAGGCAACATTCCAAACGATTAAATGATGTCATTCATTTAATTGTTATATAGTAATTATGACGATACATAAATTTATATACATGTACTTATTGATATTTTTCTTCATATGTATACGTAAAAACTAGTAATGTAGAATCATCATAGATCAAATGCGGATGTTGATTGCCCATTGAGTTCATTTCGATGGATGTTGCTTGCACACTTAAACTCAACTTGAAATTGTTTCGACTGGCTCAAAGCGAAGCATTCATACAATTATTATGTGATTACCTCGGCCCGTGAACAATGCTTGAATTGGAGATATTCTCGGCTTCAGAAAATGGAATTCGGATCTAGTGCGCAACTCCTCCTATATATATACATATATATATCTATATACTATATACTATATGATATCTAGGGTTCCTACGGCGACTATTTTAGTTTTGAAGTAACTAATTTTACCGCGAACAGCTTCCTATGCAACTTGTGTTCCGTTTTCGAGAATTATACCTAAAAATTATGAAAATAGGTACCTCATTTGATTATTACAGTTATTTTTATAATATGTGTATAAGTTATTTTCATAATGTAGTATAAAATAAATACCCGTTATATTGGATACTTTTATAAAACACAAAAAGTCGAGTAGGATCGCCTCCTGTCTGGGATGACGTGAGTTCGTGACTCATTGAGAAAGAAATTTATTGAATTATATATCTCAGTCAGTTGTATCATCACAATACAAATATCTACGTATCTAATATACATATGTATGAATGTAACATAATGTATAATTTATTATTTCAAATGATAAATGTAGAAGACATTTTTGTAACAAAAAATGATAATATTATAAGGTGCCCATGTTATTTTTACATTATACGATTGTTACAGTTTAGGGTAAACTTCAATTGTCGAAGTCAGACTCGTTTAATAAACAGAACATGCAAAGCAATCCTAGCTGGATCTATTTGAATCCAACAAAATTGGTACATTCCAGATTGAATTTTCGTCACCTGACATATAATATGGTAAGATTCATTCATTAAAATCCATTCAGTAGTGTTTGATAAAGAGTAAGAAATATCCATCCATCTATGCATCTATCCACACTCATAAAATTCCGCGTTTATATTTTTAGTAAGATATTTGTTTTAGTATATCCTGAAATAAGAAAATAAAAAGTCTTGCTGAATAATGCCCAGCAATCTCTTAGATGACAAACGTGACTGGCATCACAGTTGGTTACGCACAAAATTCCGAATTTATTACCACCTATTACCTATACCTACACAATGTATTGCCAATATACACGAAATACAATGAAATAAATAACTACCATAACATATTAGAACAAGAGTTAACTGTCTCCTTGACCAAAAATAACTTTTGTATTGAGTTCGTTGTATATTGTTAAAAAATAGAAAATATTTAAAAAATTTAAATAAAACTAATTCATTCATTACATTACAAGTTAACTATTTTTTCATATATAGT